TAAAGCAAAACAAAGGAGTTTTGCCATTCAATGAAATTACACCCAAGCCATTACCTTTTGTCGTGATTTTGGTAATTTTCTAACTGGTCTTTCTCCATTTTTATACAATCTTGAAATTTTATCACGAAATAAATCGAAAGCAGTCTCATCTGTAAAGATGGTATAGTTCCCAGTTATCGTTCAAACGAGCCTGTGCCTATGTATTTCGAGCATTGATATGACTACTGGGGTGGAAAGTGGTATGGCACTATTATATCTCTTTTTTGCCATGTGTCGTCAAATATTAGTATGTGAAATAGATACATTATGTGTATCCTGAATTCGAACTACACAATTATTGTTGTAATTGCAGAATTATGGTGAACCAGTTTCCCAATTGAACGTGAAACAGTATGTGTAACCTTAGAACGACGGCCATTACATCCAATATGTTTAACAGTGCCTTTTTGAGTTTTTTGAATAGTAATAGTACGAATGGGAATTCTTTGGCAGTACGAATTCCATTTAGCCAGTAATGTAGAATTGTTTGACATTGCGCCTCAAGTTCTTTATTGGTCATGTTTGCAAGGTTTAAATGAAATAAACAATGAAGCAGGATAATTTCTTTTTTTGTAAAAAGATTAAAAAGAAACAAATAAACATTTATAAAAATGGTAATCATGTAAACAAATTAGCAATTTTTTTTCGCAACACACTGTATGTATATGATTATTTGATATAAAAAACAAAAAAAAAAATTTTAGATGTTTCACGAAACCAATTAAAGATGTATAAAATGAACAAGATTTTATGATTAAAGTATGACGTTTTGTCATTCTACAATTAAAAAACGATCATTAATCATTTGCCGATTTTTTTTTTCTTACAGAAAATTTTATTATTGCATTAAAGTCTACATAATTGAGAAATGAGAACACTATTATCGAATTACTATTATTTAATAATAATAATAATCATCATCAATTATTCACTATTTTGTCAATCACAAAAATCATACAAAGAATTAATAACAGAAACACTCACATTAACTCCTCCTACTAATCGAATTATAAACCATAATGAGTTACCACTTGTAAAAGATGAGTTGTCAATAACATTAAAAATAAATCTCATGAGTCATGATGTTGGTTGGGCTGCTGTTTTTCATAAGGGTATTTACATATGACTACTAATTATTTATCCCAAAAAGTTCTTTAGTTATATATGTATATAATGTTTTTTATATTTAGGTAGGGCGAAGTACACCGAACGTACACCTTCCCTCTGGCTGACACCAGAGAATTCAGCTCTATATCCACGTTACACGACTAATATTGAGATGAGTCGGGGAATTGATGGTATTCTTGGTAATGAAATTTTGCTTAACCGATGGTATCATATTGCATACACACTTTCAAATCTTGAAAAACGAATGGATATATATATAGATGGTAAATGGGTTGGATTTTCAAGTATCATATTAGTTCAGAATCAATTTGTTATATTCAATGATGCGCCATTATACATCGGAAATGATACCTACTACAATGGAATTAATGGGCAAATTAGGTGTATATATATATATATATGGAGTTCTTACATTCAATCATATTGATTAATATAAACATATTAAATAATTATCTATGTTTTAAAAATCAGCAATTTTCGCTATTATAACTTTGCTCTATCTCGTGGAGAAGTAGAAATGGATTATTTGGTAAGGTTTATTTTTAGGTTTTACATTCTTTAGGTTCCCAAATTGTCACATTGATAGTTTTTTTAATCTAGGGGCAAGATCCAACAACAAGCAATCAAACAACACCATCAAGCGCAACTAGTAATTTCCCAACGACAGCAACAGAAACAACAGCAGCAACAACAATAGCAACAGATAGTGTGGTAACAACTGGAGCTTTAGCCGGTTCAATTGTAGGATCATTTTTCTGTGGTATGATATTTTTAGCAGGAGGTTTATTTATGCATAAAATTATAAAACGGAGACAAGACATCATGTTTGTAGATGGACACTCAAATCTAAACATAAATTAAATTGATTTATTATTAAGATAAAATGGTTAATTTTGTGAATAATTTCCAAATTTAAACTGTTTCAATATTCCTTGGAAACCAACACTAGTCTAACGTCAAATATTTAGATGAAATGACTAAAATATAAATAGCAGTGATATCAAAACTAGAGAGTTTCATAACTGTGCGAAAGTCAAAAGGTTTTGCCACAAGTCGAAACTACTAGTTTTGACTTTCGCCTCTTCAAAATAGTTTTGGCGATCAACAATTCAGACACTCATATAGTATTTGATAAAAACGGGCCTGACAATCAATTAGTTATATAAGATCCTTTAAAGGTATTATTGAACTTGTTCCTTAGTTAAATTCGCGTTTTTATTAAATGTATACAAAATACTGATTATCTGATTGATAATTCGGATTAAGTAGGACCCTGAACAATTTGGGAGATGATGGTACAATCAGCCTCCTATAAGTGCACCCTCTCTAAATGCACTCACTATGTAAACCCTCTCTAATTGCACACCATGTCTCATTCCCAAACTTATAGTGAGCTTATAAATTACTCCCTCCAAATGCACATCCTCTCTAAATGTATGTTCATGAGAAATAGTGATATGTTCCCAATGAGGGTGCACTTAGAGGGGTTGACTGTAAATTTCAATTTTAGGTAGAATCACCCTTTTTTATCGATGATAGTGGTGTATGCGTAACAATTTACATTTTTACACAATAATATAAATCATTAATTGCAAACAAATAACTATTACAACCTCTATCCCAATCTAACTTCAACCATATTTCGCCAGCATGGTGGAAGTTTGATTTTATTGGATATAAAATGTGACAAAATAAAATTTAGGTTTTTACCAAAATTAGAAAA